ATGATATTTTTGATAGACCTCGTATTTATTTGTAAGGATAATTCGGTTTTGTCTTTGTTTGGTATTTTTAAATGAGTTAATGTACCGGTTGTAACAGCAAAATTATCCAAATCGTCTTACAGCAAAATTGTCCCACCCACAAAATATTAAATATCTAAAAACCACTAATTTAGTTGAGTTTCTTTTTTCCAGGGTTTCAGGTACAATGTTTAGCCATCTTGACACCATTTATCGTAAGAATCACTGAAAAACCCTTTGAGTTATTCAACTAGAAAGAGAACAGGTTAAAATCATTTTGTATCAGCTCCACTGTCTTCTCAACTGAGCAATGGTGAGAGGAAAAACATTCAGGTTTTCAGTAATGGTACTAACATTCATACTCTGGCTTCCATCTTCAAAGTTCATTCAATAACCTTAACAGAATGGTGAATGATTTTAAAAAAGAGGTAAGAGTAGAGAGAAAAACTGAATCATGAGGTCTTAACAGCTAAAGAGATCAATTAGAAAAGATACTACTCAATCTATAAGATGTTTGGCATGTGAGAGAGGAATTTCAGCTATGATAGTCCAAAGAGCAGTGAAAAAGACTTGAAAATAAAATTTGCGTGAAAGGTGTGAGGCACCTTGTTACTCCAAGACAGAAAATCTTGAATAAGTTGGAAAATGATACTGAATAACATATATATATATATATATATATATATATATATATATATATATATATATATATATGTGACGTGACGTGGTCCAGGGTTGATCCTTTGGTCACGGCACCATTTGTGACGTCGTCCTCCGGTCGCAGCGTCGACTGTGTCGTTCGATCCCGTTCGCAGCGCCAATTGTGACGTCACGTGCTCCCCAGGCTCTGATATCCTGGTCACGGACAGCACCAGTTGTGACGTCTTTTGTCGCGGCGTCATCTGTTCGCTCCTCGCTGTTCCAAACGTGACGTTCTAACCATTTGGTTAGATTGATACCAGCCTCGTCGTTCCCAACCTGCTTCCAACGCCTGGTTACCAGGGTAACTGCACTGATCTCCGGTCTGCCTACCCACGTTGTGACTTGATCTTAGACAGACGAGATCAAACAGGGCTTGGGGCCGTAATGCAAGTTGAGTCTAACGGGGGTGATATCACACAATTATGTATAATAAAAAAAAAAATAAAAAAAATAAAATAACAACTCACAAGGTCCAACGTATCAAGAAAAAGGTAACAAACTTTTATGTCTATTTGCTCGGTACATAGGACTATGTCTACCTCCCGACCCGTTCTGTGGATTGTGGCACGACGCTTTTACTAGGCAACCTTAAGGCTTCAAGCTGTCTACTCTCTAAGAAATTTGTGTTTCGGGTGTCTTTGGACGAAAGTAAAAAAAAAACTTATTTCTGTGGTCTTATTCTAAGTCGCTCTTCAAACTACTTGTTCTTGGTTGAAGAAGAGTTCAGAAGTGTGCGTGAATCTTGGTTAGCTATCTTGATGCGGTTTCAACACTGGGCGCTGATCTCTGCTTGTCGTTCACGGCTGATCTCTCTCGCCGTCCGCGGCGCAAACTCTCTCTTCAGAGTCTGAATTATTGGTCACTCATCTCCGCCGTCGTTGCGCAAATTAACTTCTTCTCTTCGGCTTCTGAATTAGTGGTCACTCATCTCCGTCGCCAGTGCGCGAATTAACTTCTTCTCTTCGGCTTTTGAATTAGTGGTCACTCATCTCCGTCGTCAGTGCGCGAATTAACTTCTTCTCTTCGGCTTCTGTTGGACGAGCTTCTTCACTTCGGCTTGCTCTGATTCCAACTTCTCCACTTAGGCCAAACGGACCGGCCTCTCTTGCCCGCAAAGGGGCGAATGAACCGGGCCCGCCGCCCGCGCTCAAACTCCCTCGCCGTCCGCGGCGCAACTCTCTCTCGCCGTCCGCGGCGCAACTCTGATTTCTGTCGGTTGGGGTACCGCTTTTATTGACGCAGTCAAAACTGGGGTGGGTCTGTCGGCGCCAGGGTTTTCTTGATAATTCTAAATACGTATCCACCCTTCTTATTTCTGGTTAGGGATTTTCCATTTTCGGTAATTCACTTTCACTCCTACTTCCTTATTGTGTCTCTGAGGGCGTATACCCGCTTCTTCTTATCGGCTCCTCACACTTACACCTCTGACAAGGGCGTCGACCGATTCTCCTCGTGCGTCACGTGACCGCTCTCGGCCAATGAGGTCCTGGTCGGGTATTTTTCCTCCTCCTTCGTGCGCCACGTGATCACATCTAGCCAATGGCGTCTTTAGTCGGGCGTGGACAATCCGTGGCTTTGTTCTGGGGGAAGAAACACCTTGCTTAAAAAATAAAAATTCAAATTGCCGTTATCGTACGTGACCGAAATGACGCTCTCGGCTTTTTTTTTTTAACACGCGGTATTTGTCAAACAGTTTATCGCTAATTGGATACGATCTAAGAAAGGGATTTCTCAGACTGGGTGGCGTTTTCGTGAACTAATAAAAATATTTCACTTTTTCTTTCGCTTGAAGCTTGATAACAAAAATCTTAATTATCTCAAAAAACATTTTCAGCCAACATCATCTTGTGTGGCTTTATTTTCAATTCTGGAATTGTCTGGGTTTTCGTATTAATGGTTTGCCTGCATATCTTTAGATAAACTTCCCACCTGTTACCTATCATATTTTTTTTTTCCATTGTCTCTAAACTTTATTTCTTCAACCAAATTGATAACAAACTTCCATTTTTCGTGGACACGGTAGTAGGTCAGGTGCTTGACCTGGATATCTTCCAACATCTGTTATGTATCAATCGTGCGTGTGTGTGCTCGCCTATGACCTGGTTTTCGTATTATATTTTTTTCTTTTTTTCTTCTTCTTCTCTTTCTTTCTCCCAGATCGCTTGAACGCAATTAAAGAATTATTCTCAAAACCCAAATATTTTTCAGCTCTAAATAATTATCAAATGGTTGACAAACCGTAAAATAATAAATCATATATTTATGAATATTTCTTTCCAGCTTGCTAAGTATGCATGGTGCCACACACACACACACACACACACACACACACACACACACACACACACACATATATATATATATATATATATATATATA